TTTTTTTTTTTTTTTTTTTTTTTTGCTGTACGCGGGCCTCTCACTGCTGTGGCCTCTCCCGCTGCGGAGCACAGGCTCCGGATGCGCAGGCTCAGCGACCACGGCTCACGGGCCCAGCCGCTCTGCGGCATGTGGGATCCTCCCGGACCGGGGCACAAACCCGTATCCCCTGCATCGGCAGGCAGACTCTCAACCACTGCGCCACCAGGGAAGCCCCTATGTGTCCATCTTAGAACTCCTTGAGGGCTGGGCCTGGGTCATGGTCCTCTCTTGCCTACTCATCTTTTTCCTGACTCTTCCAGGGACGAGTCTGGCTTCAGCCCCAAGGAGCAGCCAGGACAGGATACTCCTGCCCAGGCTGGGACCATGTCTATAGCTGCACAGTCCAGTATTAACCATATGTGGTTATATATCGTCATTAACCGTATGTGGCCCTTTAAATTTCAATTACTTAAATTTACATAAAACAAGATTTCAGTTTCTCAGTCACACTAGCCACACGTCAAGTGCCCAGTAGCCGCATGTGACCAGTGCCTACTGCATTGGATAGCACAGCAGCATCTTTCCATCATTGCCGGAAGTTGTGCTGAACTGGGCTTCATAGCAAGCCTGGAGCTCTCAGGGGACAGCTGCCCTAGAAACATCTCAGCGTTGGCTCGAACAGCCACCAGCCATCTCCTGAGCTCTGGGACAGCAAGAAGTCTGTAATATACAGAAACTGAGTTCCCGAGAGCCCTTCCCACATTCCCTTTCAAGCAGCCTTGCTCACCTGGCCAGGGTGGTTGGTTTCTTGACAGTTCTTATCAGCCCAGGCTGGGAAGGCAGTACTGGGGTTGCCCAAACTGCAGCTGTTGCCTGCTATCCCTGCCGTGTTTCTCCAGCTGGTCCTGCCTGGCTGGGAGTCTCAGAGTAATGTTTCTAATTCACAGCTTTGGCTGGGGCCAGGCTGGCCCAGATGCCCTGACCCCACTCCCTCCCTTTGGGGCCCTGCCCAGCCCCTAGCCTGCTGCCCCCTTGTTGTGCTCTGAACACATGCCTCCTGCTTTCTGCTCACACTGTTCCTTGTTCCTTCCCCCTGGGCACCATCTCCCTCCTCTCTCTCCAGGCCTGACCTGCATGGCTGGTCCTCCAGGAAGTTCTGATCCATCATGCAAAGTGAGCTCTCCTGCCTTGGAAATGCCCTCCCTCAGACCCCGTTCTTGGCACTCAGCCCTTTCCCCTATGGGTTTACTCTTGTATTCGCTTGTTCTCTGCATCAGACACACGGCAGACACTTTCTGAGTGCCAGCCACGTGTTAGGACAGACAGTGGGGAACAGGCCACAGGCTTTGACAGCTTCAGGCTGGTGGGAGGCCCACAGTTGGCCAGACTTTTCCATCCAGGCCAGACAGTGCTCAGCCAGAGATGGAGCCAGTCCCGTTGGGGAAAGCTTCCCCGGGAGGAGACACCAAGGTTGAAGGGGCCGGTGCTGACTCTGGGCTGCAGACGGAACAGTGGGCAGGTCTGGAGGAGTCTGTATGGCTAGAGGAAGGGACAGGAATGGCAGGGAGGGAATGGGGCAGGAAGGGTGCAGGTGTCTGATTGGTGGTACAGGTATCCCCTGCTTTTCAAAAGTTCACTTTACGTCACTTCACTTTTATGAGAGACCTACATTAATTAGTACATGTTTTCAATAAAGGAAAGAAATCCAAAGAGGCTTTTACAAGAAAAGGCAGTTGCTTCTTTGCTTTACACCATTTTGGTTTACGGACGGTTCCATAGGAATGCTGTACTTTCGGATAGCGGGGGAGGCCTGTGCTGGACCCCATTCTGGGGGGGCACAGCTGATCTAAACTAGTTCCATGTTGCCCAGTTCTGAGAGCCTGGCATGCAGTAGGTGCTCAGGAGATGGCTGTGGGAGGAATGAGCAAATGCCGAGTGAGTCCTGTGCGTAGAGGGCTGGTATGGGGGCCTCTTCCTACGCTTGGAACCTGTGATGGAAGCCAGGAAAGCCCTTCCTCTTCACGGCAGCCAAGACTGATCCCCAGAGACGTGACAGCTCAGTCAGGCTACGCGAGAGAAGATGGGGAGGGGGCGTGGGAGAACCCAGGGTGGTTCTCAGTGTGCCCTGTATTCATTTCTTGCTTGTCCCACGAAACTTCTCTGAGCCCCCTCCCCGCACCGTGTACCAAGGAGGCTCTAGTCCAGGTGAAAGAGATAATGACAGTTGCGGGAGGAACCTGGCTGGTATTCACCAGTTGAGCTTTACTTGTTATTAAAATACTGCAATACTTCTGTGCTAAGACCTATTGTCCCCAGCAGGCTTGGCCTCTCCCCTGGCTCCCCGCTTCCCCATAACCCAGCAGTAAAGAGTCAACAGCTGGCCTTCTGAGTGGTCTCTAGGACCTTACCCTAGGGCTCGTTCTGATCGCTCGGTTCTGGTTTTTAGATATTTGAAGTGTCATCCCTGTGTATAATGTGTGGTGATCTTGATTTGAAGTGTCTGGTCTCCTGTCATCGTTTTGCTTGTGGCTTTGCCTGGTCAGGCAGGCTGGGACTGAAGCTGTCCCCGCAGTGTGCCTTGCACCCTGTGGGCCCCCAGCAGAGTCCAGCGGAAGTGCTGCACCCGACTCAACGCCGCTCCCTCCCTCTCTCTCTCCTGCAGGCAGCCATGAGATCCAGCCGCCCTGAGCAGGGTGCCCAGGAACCCCTCAGTCCCTGCCCTCAGCCCCTGTCCTGGAGCTCCTCCAGCCCGCTGGGCGCAGGCCGGGGGCAGAGGCCGGAGCTCCACAAGAGCGCCAGCAGCACCGTATGGCAGGCCCAGCCGGGCGAGGCCAGCACGGGTGCCCAGGTCCGGGAGGAGGAAGGGCACCAGGCTGAGAGTGAGGAACAGGCACGTGCCTCCAGCCCCCGGCCACAGCCCGGGGCCGTGGGTCACTGGCAGAGCAGCGCTGTGGGCGGTGGTGACCTGTGCTGCCTGCGGGACCCCAGCACCGCCGCTGTGCAGAGAAGCCACTCGGACCTGGTCTGCAGCACCCAGATCTGGGGCCACAGCGGTGCCCGGAAGGCCAGCCTCAGCTGCTCGGCCCTGGGCAGCTCGCCTGTCCACGGAGCTCAGCTGCAGCCCAGCAGCGCTTCTGGCCGGGGTGGCCAAGCCCCTGCAGGCCTGGAAAGGGACGTGGCTCTGGAGGATGAGACTTCAAACTCAGCCTGGACACTGGAGGAGAGTCAGGTGTGGGTGCCGCCACCTGACCTGGGGGGCACAGTGACCCACAGCAGCAGCCTCAAAGCCACCGGGCAGTCGGCCACCACCTCCTGCCATGCTCTGCCCCCAGCAGCGCTACTCTGTGGTGTGAGGGAGGTGGGGGCCAGCAGCTGCTGCCACGGCTTGCCTGCCCCAGGGATCCTGGCCTTTCCTAAACTAGTGGCATCAGTGAGTGAATCTGGGCTGCAGGCGCAGCACGGGGTGAAATTCCAGTGTAGGTTGTCTGCGGGGCTTCCTGGGCATTCCCACTGCTGTGCGTACCCTTGGGGTCCCACCGGGTTAGCTATGGAGGCTGGCGCCAGGACCAAGGATATGTGGACCATGACCTCAGCAAGTGACTTGGCCCCCATCTTGGCATCACCTCTGTCAGCCCAGGATGCTGGTGTGCAAGCGGCCCCCAAGGCAGTCTGCAAAGCTGTGGCCACCAGCCCGCCTCTGGAGGCCCCTGTGGCCCTGCACACATTCTCGGAGGCAACTCTGGGGTCCAGCCTGGAGGAGGTGCCACCCCCTGTGCGGGACGTGCGATGGGATGCTGAGGGCATGACATGGGAGGTGTACGGAGCTGCAGTGGACCCTGAGGTACTCGGCCTAGCCATCCAGAAGCACCTGGAGATGCAGTTTGAGCAGCTGCAGCGGGCCCCTGCCAGCGAGAACAGCCTGTCTGCGGAGAGCCGGAGGGGGCCACTTCGAGCTGTTATGCAGTCCCTGCAGTGCCCCAGCTGCTGCGGCTGCTCCAGTGCAGTCCCTGAGTAAGGAGCTGCAGTCCCAGGAGCTGCCCTGGGCCCATGGACTCAGCCCCAGGGACAGTAGGGGCCCTGTGCCCTTTGGACCCACGGGCACCCATGGACGTGTCTCTGTTCTTGGCTGTCTGCAGACCGCAGGACTGCAGCCTGGGGGCTTCCTGCCCCCTGCAGCTGGGCTAGTTTTTAAGGGCTTGATTTCCAAGAGCCACATCTGCACATCCGGCTCTGAACTCTGGTACAGTTTCAACACTGTGCATAACGGGGATCCTGACTTTTCTGTCAAAACCCTCGACCTTCTGTTCAGTCTCTCCTCAGAACTCTGCCATGATTTCCCCAGGCCTCTCGATGGCTTTATTTTCACGGCAGTGCTGAGATACAACGAATTCCTGCCATGAGACGTGGGGCCCCGAGTGGCAAGGACTGTCTGAGTCTTTAGGGGAGGGAACTGACATTGTGGAGGCCTCCCATGTGCCACAGCCTGTACCCATCCCCTTACTTTGTGGAGTCTTTACCTCTTCACTCTGTTTTATAGACGCAACCACAGACACTGGCATGGCTGTAACTGCCGTGCCCTGGGTTGGACAGCTCGAGGTGGTGGGATGAGAGCAGAGCTGAGGCTGGCTGAAGCCTGCAGTGTTTTCCTGCAGCACGTGGCTGGCAGCGCAGGGCAGTTGTGAACAAGAAGAATTTATTGAGCCCATGTTCCATGCCAGGTTCTGTGAATTCCTTGGGAAAGAAGCTGCCCGTGCCCTTGCTGAGCTCACAGTGTGTAGGATGGGGGGCTCTGAGCATTACAGAGGACTGCAGGGTACTTCTAAGAGCCAGCCTCCCAGTAGATCATGTGTCAGGCACTGGCCTCAGGAGGGAGAGAGCGGGTGGCCACCTGTCCCAAAATATGTTGCAGTGCCTGAAATTGTACCATTTTTACCTTGCTCCTTTGGCTTAAGGACTTATTCTCAGCTGGTGCAGTTCTTCAAAGGAGGGGGGCAGGAATGGGTGGGAAAAGGGAAGGAGCCTGGGGTGGGATCTCCCACCTAGTGGGAAATGGCGGGAGCTGGGAGGCCATGGGGGTCAGGGGACCATGGGGGTGGGGAGCTCAGGACACTGGCGCTTACTTAGCACAGGCTGACTTCATTGACAAAGGAGCTCTCAAGACCTGCGGAGGATAAGGGTGAGTTTGTGTCCTTGTCCTGGGGCTTAGTGTTGGGGATTCCAAGCTCCTGGGACAGAATCCACCAGCACCGCCTTGTGAGGGAGCCAAAGATTAGTGCCCTGCCTAGAGTCACCTGGCGTGGGAAGGTGGAGTCAGGGCCCACATGCAGCCCTGCCCATGGCCCGGTGCTGTTCCTGGGCCCCCTTCTCCTGGTGTGCAGGAGGGGACTTGACCTTACCCCCCTTTTAAAATGTGATCAAGCAGGTTCTCATGCAGTCATAAGGCTCTTGGCACTGTGCAGCCCGGGGGCCTGGGCCTGTCCATCCCGACGCCTGTGGTTCAGGGCAAGCATGTCACGCTCTGGGGAGTAACATGTGGGTACCAGGGTGCCCTCATCTCTGGCCCTGCATGGGGGTGCCAGGAGCCCCAGCTGTGAGGACACGGGGGGAGGAGTGATGAACTGGGTTAGGAAGGCATCTTCACACAGGGCCAGAGCTGAGCAGGGTCTTGACGATATAGCGGGGCTGGACTGGTGGGTGAGCAGGGAAGGATATACCAGGCAGAGAGAACGGCCTGGCCAGAGGCTTGGAGGTGGCTGTTTTGCCCAGGCTGCGGTGAATCACTGCGGTGCAGGCTGTGTTGGGGTGTTTGTTGTGTTGGGAGGCTGGCAAGGGGGTCCTAGTTGTGAGGCTCCTGGTGTGAACTGAGGAAAGGGACTTTACAGGAGCTGTGGAAGCAGGGGTGGACACAGACTTCATTACAGCAATGTCCCTTTGGCTGCCATGACAGGAGATTCGTGTGGAAGAGGTGGGAGGGAGGAATGGGAACCAAGGAGCGGCCTGTTAGGGGGAGATGGAGAGGGCAGCTAGGGCTGGGCGTGCGCGCACGCGCGCACACACACACACACACACACACACACACACACACACACACAGCGTGTGATGGATTTGGGAAGGAGGAGGAATTCCAGGAAGCTGAGGCTACCAGTCTGAGTAAAAGGAGGTGAGGCTACCACCTGGGACAAGGAGAGGCAGGTGGAGGTTGGGGAGGGACAGGTGAAAGGCTGCAGCTACAGGGCTGGGCTGGGACCAGTGACAGCCTTCACGAAGAGACTTTCTCCTCTGTCCTATGCAAACCGTCATGAGTTCATTCTCCGTTTGCCACCTCTAGGCTGAACCCGGTATGTCAAGATGGCAGGCTGGGCTGTGCCCTGAATGGGGAGGGCTAGCCAGCCACCCACCTCATCGCGACCGAGATGAAGGTTTGCAGGGTGGCACTGGAATCCAGCCTGGCCTGTGTCCGAGCTGGGGGCTGCGCATGGCTGGGGCCCCCAGAACACCCTCCTAGGTAAGCTTGCCGCCCCAGACCAGCGGAAATGGCGTCCTCGGCCTCACTAGCCCCGGCTGCACAGCCTCTGCGGACAAGTCTACTTGGAGCAGCTGCAGCTCAATTTTCGAATTCAACCTGGAGACCCAACCCTCCCACCCCCTTCCTGCTGTGGGCTTTCCCTGGCTGGGCCTGACTGGCAGTGGTTTAGGGTCCCAGGACACGGCCACCAGCTTCGTTTACAAATCTCGTCCTCTCAGACTCCAGATTTCTGACCAGACTTTCTGGGACCCCTTCAGACCTGGCTCTGGAAGGTGGTGGATTTCATTACGTGTATGTCTGTTTTGTTTTGAATTTGAAATAAAGTAACGGAGATCACAGCTTTGTCAGGGAAGGGTCCAGTTGGTCCTGGCTGGTCTTGTTTGTTTTGTTTTGTTCTGGTAGCTTCTGTCCTTTGGAGCATTCCCCAGATTCCTAGAGCTCCCTGCTCAGGCAGGAATCACCTCTTCTCCAGGGATCTCCCTTCCGTCCACCAGCTCTCCTTCCTGGCAACCTGGGGCCCCAGTAGCTGAAGCCTGGCTCCCTGGAACTTGTCACCTGTGGGCCTGGCTGGGACAGAGGGCATGCATCTCCTCTCCAAGTCCAAAGGTGCCATCACCGTCACAGGGATCACCTGGGGGAGAAGCTATTCCTGCCAGAGTGTAGGCTACTGCTGGGCTGAGGGCACAGTGTGGGGGAGGATGCAAAAGCAGAAAATGGCCCTGACCCACTGTGACATCACCTCCCGAATCCGCTGAATTGGGTCTGTGTCCCTCAGAGGTACTGGAGTCTTCCCAATGCAGGTCCCGACACTTAGGATATCGAGGGGGGCACTATAGCTTAGTAGTCTAAAACTTGAGTTTGAATCCTGGATCTCACCTATAGCTATAAGACCTTGGTCAAGTTACTAACCTCGCTGATCCTCAACTTCCTCATCTGTAAAATGGGGGTGATAATGTTGCCTCCTTTTTTTGACTTGCTGTGAGGAGTAAACGAAGTAGCCCACATAAGGTACCTGGCACTTAGCGCTTAGCACACGTCTGCTGTCGCTAGCTACCACTTCCACAGCCACCAGTGGGATCAGCTCTTGCCCTGTCAGCTTGGCCTTAATCAAGGCCCACATTGTTTCCTTAAACCTCCCTCACTCAGAGCCTCTTTCCAGGTCCTTCACCCTCTGCCTTGAACCGTGCTTGGGACACATGTATTCTGGCCCCGGTCCTCTGAAACCCTGGCTCCCAGAGCCATGTTAAGGAGAAGCATCCCATCTCTCACTGCTAGTCTGCAGTGGGCTCCCCAGAAGCTTTTCATTTCCCAACGTCTTTCCTCAGAAAAGACACAGCGTGCTTTCTCAGCACCCTATTAAGACGGCGGAGGGAGCAGAGCGCCTCCATCGGCATCCATCCCAGGGGCCGTGGGGAGGCTCTGCAGGTCCTGCACCCACTGCCCTTGGTGCTCTTTCTCCCCCACCCCCTATTTATCTTTAATTTCATTTCCCCCCTTTTCACCTTTTCTGTCTCATGTCCTCTTTGCCCCCAGAAACCGTCTTTCTCCCCACCATCCATCCCACTGTCCCCACATCCCGCTGCTTCTTTCCCTTTATGCCAAAGCTCTGCCTTGCCTTATCCCTTCTGCTCCAAACAGCAGTCTCTCTCTTCCCGTGGTCAGGGTCTTGGCATTCCTGATTTTCACTAGTCTAGGCCCTTCCTTCCCACCTGTCCTTTCTCTCTTCGGACAAAACCCAAACTGTTTGAGCTTGCCAAATAGCTTCTGAGCTTCTTCCTGGAGAAGGAGGCCTCCCTGGGACAACTTGGGGTTGCTTTGTCAGGTTGTTTCCATCGCTTTTGCCCAAAGAGAGAAATCAGTTGTCAGTGGTCCTGCCCTGTGAGTGAAGAGGCTTTGATCAGGCTAGAAGGGCACCTATCGATCCTCAGTTTGGGTGACTTTTATTGGGCCCTGGCTGGCTAGGTCACCCAAGGGGCACGACGGGTGGGCGGTACCCATCTGCTGGCTTTAGGTAGGTCATCTCTCATGTTTTCAGAATCTTCTTGCTTGCCTTGTAATTAGGTTGGGGCATGGCCTGGGCCTTGGTAGGGACACACCACGCTGTCTGGTCTCTGCTCCTTTCCTGTGTGGGACTGGACTTGTGTCTAGGAGCCAGGGCTGGGGGCAGGGCGAGGAGACTTCTGAGAAGACTTCTGAGACACTGAGAGGGCCTGAGGTGGGCCCAAGTAGGGAGCCTTTGTTGGGGTGGGAATTTTCTACGGCTCACCAAAGAACTACACTTGGGGTGCTGGAGTCCAGCTGGGGAGGAGTGGAATTGCCTCTCATCCCAGGCCCACTTGGCTCGTCCCCTTTAGGCTTCTGCTTTGCCCTTCCTCTCGTCACATTTCATTTCTAGCTGTCAAGGGTCTGGGAAGAAAGTGGCCAAGGACGCCATTTGGTTTGCAAGCTCTGTGGCTTTTGTAAGCCCCGCTTGCGTCTTTTAAGGAAGACTCTCTGGTTTGATTTTCTTTCCCTTCAGACTTGGGGGAATTCAGAGAGAGGGGAAGGGGCTTCTTGAGAAGATTTCAACCCAACTCCCCTCTCCCCTGATGCAATCCCCTGGGCATGGCCCACGGCCTCCTCCGTGGTCACACCACTGGACTGGGGAAAGGAGAGGCAGGAATCAGCAGAACTGTGGTCCCAGAGGGGCTGGGACACAGCTGGGCGTCGGTCCCAGGCGGTTGGTGGGGTCAGTCAAGGGCTTCGGTGCGGAGCTGGGATCCGGGCAGCGCAGCCCGCCGGAGGAGCACGGGCGCCCTCTTGTGGCCGCTGAATCGCCTTCCAGAGGCACCTGGGGGCGCAGGTTGGGAGCCACCAACCCTGCCCCGCCCGGGGCGGCCTCGAGCGACCTTCCTCCTGTCCCGCCCCGGGTTGAAGACGCGGGGCGGGGTCGGGGGGATGGCGGACACTGCTAAGTTCCGTCCCTGTGCCTTCTCCTCCCCTTCCGCCACTCCTGACGCTCCACTGCCAACCAGGACAGCTGAACGGAAGATTCCAGAGAGGTGCAAAGGGCTGGAGAAGGTGGAGGGGGTGGAGTCCAGGCGGAGCGAGGCGGGGCGGAGAGAGGGCTGCGGGCGCCCAGAAGGGGAAGGGGGGCGGGGGCGATTTCGGCCTTTGAAAGGGAAGACAGCCTCACTTTACTTACACCCTTGACTCCAGATGTGAGTTATACACGCCGAGGGGGCTGAGAGTAGGAGCCTTGTTTTATAACCCTTCTTCTTCGGCTTGCCTTTGTCTTTAAGTTTACCTAGAGCCTCTAAGTGTGCCCGTGGTCCCACCCCACGAAGGTCCTCTTCCTGGGCCATGCAGAGAGCAGGTGTGGACAGCCAGGAGTGTGCCTCCCGTCACGGGGGACTGACCCTGTCTGGCAGAGGGAGTACCGGGGGCAGTGGGCTTGAGGAGGGGGTTCTGAGCTACAGCTGACTGTCAGAGAGGGACTGGGGCCTAAAGGTCACCGCGGTGGCGGCTGATTCTGAGGGTCTTTCCCCTGGTCGCTCCTTGCCTGGCATGATTTCCTCCTGCTCTGTCTGGTGCCCAGGGCCAGCTGGGTGTGCCAGGGGTGATGGCAGCCAAGAGAGAGGTTGGAGGGAGAGCCTGTTCTTTGCAGCGTGTCAGGCAGGAGGACTGGATAGAGCCTCTCAACTGAAGTGTGGCTGAGGGCTGTGTCTAGGATGGAAAGAGAGAGTAGAACTTGCGCAGGGGTGGGCTTCTTTTCTTCGGTGGGGTGAGAGGGAGTGGCTGGGCCCAGGACAAGCACTCCTCTCTCTTTATATGCCCACAAAGCCTCCCTGAAATGGTCTCTCGAGGACATTTTTTTTTTTTTTTTTTTGCTGTATTGGGTCTTCGTTGCTGCGCGCAGGCTTTCTCTAGCTGCAGCGAGAGTGGGCTACTCATTGCGGTGCGCGGGCTTCTCATTGCAGTCGCTTCTCTTGTTGTGGAGCACAAGCTTTAGGCACGCGGACTTCAGTAGTTGTGGCGCACGGGATTAGTTGCTCTGAGGCATGTGGGATCTTCCCGGACCAGGGCTCGAACCTGTGTCCCCTCCATTGTGGTCCGATTCTTAACCACTGCACCACGAGGGAAGCCACCTTGAGGACATTTTTGATTGCAAGTAACTGAATTATGAATCAAAAGCTATCTAAACAATGAGAATGTTTAATTCACCACTTAATTCTTAATTTCAGTTAAGAATTTAGGAGGTCACTGTTCTAGAGTAGGCTCAGTGTCTCAATGAAGACATCAAGGATTTGGATTCTTTCCGTAATTCTGCTCTGCCATCTTCAGGGTATTAGCAACGGCTAGCCTCATGGTTACAAGATGGCTGTGGCACCTCCAGACATCACATTCTCCTAGAAAGCAAGAGACCTACAATCTGCCGCAAGAACTTATTGGTACGCACAGTTAACCAGTTGAAAAACATCAGCTTTTCATAGTCTGTCAGTGAATGAAGGCAATGATAATAGTGGCTACCACACTCTGACACTAAACAAAAGGTAGAAGCAGTGACGATATTTTGCAGACGTTATCTTCTTTACTTCTCACAATTTGCCCCACTTCCCAATGACAATTGAGATTCAGAGAGGTCAAGTAACTTGCCCTGTTTTATGACCAGGAAATGAAGGAGCTGGAATTCAAACTCCAGTCTGTGTGACTCTAGGCCTGGCATTTTGCCTTTTTAAAATGAAAGCAATAGATAGTTACGATAAGAATCTCAAACAGTACAGACCTTGGCTTTTTGTTTTTTCAACATTGTACGGGTTCATGATAAGAACTTCAAATAGTGTAAAGTGTAGAGTGAAGGTTGCCTCACGCCCCGCTGGGCAGTTCCCACGGTTCCCACTGTACTTTCCATGGGTCCACCAGGAGATTTTCTCTGTAATCACAAGCTCAGATTTCTAAATATTTTGTATAAATTAGGTTGACTTAGACACTATTCTGCATTTATTTTTTAAAATTAATATATCTTGCAGATAATGTTGCCATATATAGATTCCACTTCCTTCTTTTTTGTGGGTATATTGTATTGCATAGAATACAGGTGCATTAAAAAAAAATTAAACCAGTTCTCTTCTGCTGGACTTTATCTTATTGCCTATATTTTTTGCTATTAAAAAAAACCATGTAAAAATAAATATCCTTGTATATGTATAATTTTGTGTACATCTGTGAGAATATCTGGGGATAAAGTTTTCAACTGGTGGTACGTATAAAGTGTCCAAGGATTCCAGCAAATTGGTCTCCAAAAAGATTGTACCAATAATACATGAAAATGTTTATGTTCTCACACCCATGCCAACATTTGAGTCTTATCAA